GAGATGAGGTCTCGCCAAGTTGCCGAGGCGGGTCTCGAACCCGCGGGCTCAGGCAATCCATCATCTAATCTTTTAAACTAGGGCTCCATGGGTTAGTGAGTCAGCATATTAGTTCATTAGTTCAGGACCTCTCCAAGTTTCAATTTCTCCATCTTCCAAATGTGAATAATGATCACAAATGCCTTCCTATGTTGTTATAAGGCTCCCATACAATCACAAAGACCAATGTTTCTTGACCCATAAACTCTATACAGATGTGAGGGGTAATAATATTAAGAATAGGAATTGAATAACAAGAATTGAAGATTACTGTGTCAGGCTTTTTGCTAAGTATTTGACATTGACCATCCCATTTAAGCTCATCTCAAAACAACCCAAGAGTTGTATTATTGTTCCTATTTGCCAATAAGAGGTTGTGCATAGCCAGGCATATTAGCGCATGCCTGTAGTTCCGGCTACTGAGAAGGCTGAGGCGGAAGGATAGCCGAAGCCCAGCAGGTCGATGCTGGGGTACCAGTCAGTGTGCCACTGCACTCCAGCCTGGGCAGCAGAGTGAGACTCTTTAACTCAAAAAAAAAAAAAAAAAAAAAAAAAAAAAGGCCGGGCTCAGTGGCTCAGCCTATAATCCCACCACCACTTTGGGAGGCCGAGGCAAGGGAATTGCCTGAGCCTGAGTGTTCGAGACCCACCCAGGCAACTTGGCAAGGCCTCGTCTCTACAATAAATCAAAAAAAATAGCCGGGGGTGGTAGCGCGCGCCTGTGGTTCCAGCTACTTGGAAGGCTGAGGCGAAAGGATCACTGGAGCCCAGCAGATGGAGGCTGCAATGGCCGGGAGCGTGCCACTGCACTCCAGCCTGGGCGACGAGTGAGACTCCGGCTCAAAAAAAAAAAAAAAAGAGGTGGTGCAGAACTGGAACCCACCTCCCTCTCATTCCAGGGCCCTTTCTGCTAACCATTAACTTCATTTCATGTGACCCCAGACCTTCTTCTATGGGAGTTGCAGTTTTCAATCTGTTTTTTAATGTTAATCTGGAAAAGACCTTCAGAGATCATCTAAACTTCTTGTTTCGTTTGTTTGTTTGTTTGTTTGCTTTTTGATTTGGAGCCTCACTCTGTGGCCCAGGCTGGAGTGCAGTGGCACACACACAGCCACCACAGCCTTGACCTGCTGGGCTCAGATGATCCTTCTGCCTCAGCCTTCCAAGTAGCTGGAACTACAGGCATGTGCCACCATGCCCCGCTAATTTTATTTTTTTCATTGTAGAGATGAGGTCTCACCAAGCTACCCAGGCTGGTCTCCAACCCCTGGACTCAGGCAATCCTCTCACCTCTGGGATTATAGGCGTGAGCCACAGCCCCTGGCCACCTAAACCTCTTATTTGCAAATAACTTATTCAGTGTCACCTAGCAAGTAAATGTCAAAACCAAGACTAGAACCTAAGACCTCCTGGCTGAGAGTTTGGGACTCAGTGCTACGGGCACATCACAACCATCAACACCTTCTTTGTGCTGCCAGGCATGGTGGCTCACATCTTTGTTTTTTGTTTTGTTTTGTTTTTTTGAGTTGGATTCTTACTCTGTCGCCTAGACTGGGGTGCAGTGGCACACTCACAGCCACCCCAGCATTGACTCACCGAGCTCCAGCGATCCTTCTACCTCAGCCTTCCAAGTAACTGGTACTACAGGCATGCACTATCACGCCCGGTTAATTTTTGATTTATTGTAGAGACGAGGTACCACCAAGTTGCCTGGGCTGGTCTCAAACCCGCCAGCTCAGGCAATCCACTTGCCTCGACTTCTCAAAGTGCTGGGGTTACAGGCTGAGCCACCAAGCCCAGTCAGCTCATACCTTTAATCCTGGCAGTTTGGAAGGCTGAGGGGAGAGGATTGTCTGAGTCCAAGTGTTTGAGACCTGCCTGGGAAATTTGGCAAGACCTCATCTCTACAATAAATCAAACAGTTAGCTGACCGTGGTGGTGCGCCTATAGTTTCAGCTATTTGGGAGGCTGAGGCAGAAGGATCACCTGAGCCCAGCAGGTTGAGGCTGTGGTGGCCATGAGCATGCCACTGCACTCCAGCCTGGGCAACAGAGCAAAACTCCAACTTTGAGAGAGAGAGAGAGAGAGAGAGAAAATTCTATACCCAGTAAAATAATATTAGGATCAAAAACAGAATGGACAGGGGCAGGGGTCTCAGGTCCTAGGCCAGTATTCCCCTGTGCCCTCCATCCCCTGTTTAAAAAAAAAACAGAATAGACAGGCAAATGTGAGGTCAAACAGCTTCCTTGTCTGACTGCTTGTGGGAAGCCACGTCTGTGTGGTTTGGCCACCATGACAACAACACTGCCTTTCCCGTCATCCTCCAAGCATGGTCAAAACTACAAAAGAGTGTGTGGAGTCAGTCACTCACTAGCTGTATGACCTTGGGCAAGTCGGTGTTCTCATTTGTATAAATGAGTTGACATGAGCTCATGCGAAAACAATCACTAAGCAGAGTCTTGGCACTTCATAACAACCGCTCAATAAATATTTGAAGTGGAGGTTTTTCTTTTGTAAGGCCCACCCCCATTTTCCTTTTTATGGGGAAGGCTGAAGAGCGCATCTTGGAATATTTCACAAAGAATTAAAGGTGCATCTAAGAACACTGAGGGTACTTTTTCAACTGCAGAGAAGCAATGTTGTCTCAAAGCAAGACAATGTTTCTGGTTAGCTCGCCCCCCTAATGCCCCCTCACCCAATCTGTCCCCTAAGTTTTCACAGGTTTCCAAGCACACACCCAGGCTTTCTGGATTTCTGTGTCTTGGCCCTCTCTGCATCTTAACCCACCAGGAGGCTTGGAGGGGACAGGCTCTGGTATTTCCTTTCCCACTGAGGCTCCTGCTGGACTGTGCATTAAACAAGATAATGGAAATACAGAAAGAGGCGTTGCCCCCATGGGGCAGCATTGTTCGTTTATTTTTTCCTCTGAGTTATGTAAAAATACATATTTTATACCATCACTGGGCCCAGGGAGCCTTTAGGGCTTTACTTTCTTCTGCCCAGCAAGCCCTGGCCTTGTAACTCTGCAGTGACTCGGATCGACTCTTCCATTAC